TTCTGCGTACTATATTGCCACAAGACAACTTAACTGTAGCACGTGTAAACTAATTCGCGTTGATTTGTTTACAACTTGTTACAGTTAAGTTGATTGGTCGAATCATTATAGTCGCAAACCCAAATGCATTGTAAATAATCCCATCATGCTTATCGACAAACGTAAATATGACCTACTTCCGCTCGCCTTTCGAGTTCACTTGAAGGGTCTAACTCGAGACTACCGATTATGTGAGTCATAGTAACACGAGTGAGTTCGATGACGTCAGTTCGAGTACAACACGAAAAACTCGAGACTAAGGGCCCAGAACGGGCTGACCACGTGGAGTTTTCCGGATTTTCTCCACGTTTATAAAGCCTAAATAGGGGCCAGTTACCCTTAAAAAGATCTCCCAGAGGCATCATCCTCTTAGGTAGACAGTCCAAGTGTTGCGTTGCAATAAAACTATTTAATAATTTAGGCTTAATAAAATAATTTAATAAAATTAAATTAAAACTAACAAACAAATATATATATGCACTTTAAAATATTTAAACTGTATTTAAATATTTTAAAGTGCAGTATATATTCTTTCTTTTTGTGCTTGGCTGAGACATTTGGTAACAAAACGATCGAAATTGATTCGAATTTTATTATGTTAGTAGTAGATATGTTTAATTGCTTGAGCAAAAAGTAATATGGGCAAATACTAAAAGGAAAACTATATTAAACATTTAGTTATTTTAGCCTATTATTATGATTATCACAAAGTGTCAGGGGTAAAAGTTAGAGGATCAAAGGTGGGCTGTCCGAATTATGTGGTAGAATATATTTTTCGCATGGTCCTAAATAGTTACTATGAAAAATTTGTGTCAGATCGATCAAAGGGTTTATAAGTGTATAGAGAACTTACAAACAGACATTCTATTTTATAAATGTAAATATTCATATGAAAACTACAGATTAATTGCAATAATAAAGGTTAAATTTTAACATTATGTGAAGGTCAAATTTTCACTTCATCATATAGGCTAATTATATTGGGAGTTTTGTAACTAAGCGGGCCACTATTACCTCTACCTATAAAGTATTTTCTGTCTTCAATTACATTCTCAAATCTGTACGATTAAGAATGTACTGTACAAGCGACACAATTGAGATTATACACTTTGCTTGTGAGCAATAATGCTGCCATATTAAGATACCAAAAAATCCGATTTCCTCGGTAATAATTATATACTCGTTACTCAAGTATACCATGTATCCGAGTATCTGGATAACTTCTAATAATGCTGGACGATGAGTAGGGGCTCCCGTATATTAGGAAACTTGGAGCACGTGCCCACCTTTGTCGTCGGATTGCCCTTTTCTTAATTCCAAGGGAGCGTTAAGGTTTCATTTTGTTTTTAAATTAGTACTCATTTTTATCACAGTAAACGTTTTACTAGTGTCAAAATAAAAATAAAAATATTTATTTATCTGAAAATTTGTTCTAGAGTTCGAGTACCGAGGTACCACTATATTTGATTAACGCAATTTCGAAATCAAGGGTATCCTGTATATATATACACGTACGATGCTCTGTTTTATAGCTTGTGCTCCCCTTTGTTTTATATAGTCTGTGGGCGCCGCGAGTACCGATGAGTATCGTTTTTATCCATTATATCCGTGTATAAAAAGAAAACCTATCGTTCAGTTTTATTGTTAGGCTTATAGCAAATACTCATCAAATTCGTCAATTTATTTGCTTTGAGACACTTAAGTGTACAGTATTTCAAAAATTGCTTTAAAATTTTAAAAAATTATCCCTTTAAACAGTCTGGAACTTCATAGACAATTAAAAAAATGAATACTACATTTTTTAAAACAATTCTTTAACTAAAAATAACACAAGTATAACTATTTGTATTTATATTAATTTTATTTCCTTTATAACTACCATGTAATGATGCATTCATACATCCTCACGTATTTTTAAATACACTATATAGCGGTTACTAGAACATCGCGCGACTTTGTCGTATCTCGATAGAATTGAAGCGTTGCCTGAAAGAAAGAAGTGATCCCTGCACCTGTTAGGCACAGAAGAGGCCATTCTTGTACAGTATCTGATGGACGCGGACAGGTGAACTGCCGTCACAAAAGAGGTTATCCTCGTACCTGCAGGCCTCGGAAGACACGATGCTCGCACTGGCCAGGTACGGAGAGACGATTCAAAGTCGCGTGCTCGTGAAACGACCTTAAATCTCAAAAATGAAGTCGTGAACCCTCATTTTTATTGCATTTTTGGATTCCGTATTGCAATTAATGGAAAATGTCAAAGTTTAATCAAAATCTATCAAACGGATTTTGAGAACGAACACGATTCTGTAAGCCTCATAGAAGAAGCTTCGTTAACGCTCCGCTTCAATAAAGGAAATAGATAATACAAAACACTATTCCAAAAGAAACCATTGTTATTTATTTGTGTAAATGTGTCTTACAGATCACATGTAAAATAACATGAGCACACAAAATTAACAATCTCTTTTACTAAATTCTGTATCTTCGAAAATAATTACGTTTTTTTTCTTCTTCTTCTTCTTCTTCTTCTTCTTCTTCTTCTTCGTGATTTCTTGGCGTATTTTTTTGTTGTAATGATTAGTGAAGTAGAATTTTTCTTGTCTACTTTCTCTATGTTTGATGAAGAGGATGAAAATGGTTTTGATTTAACGATCCGATATCTTTTGATGATTACTCTAGTACCATTATTTGAAATTTCCTCTGCATCCTTAAGATCTGTATTTGGTTCCATATTCGATCTTCTGACTGGTAATGCTGGAACTGGTGGAAGTGGAGGAAGTGGAGGAACTGGCGGAAGTGGAGGAACTGGCGGAAGAGGAGGAATAGGTGGGAGTGGAGGAATCGGTGGAAATGCTGGAATTGGCGGAAGTGGCGGAAGAGGCGGTTTCGGTGGTTTTGTTGGAGGAGGAGGAGGAGGAGGAGGAATAAAACACGAAGGACAAGATGGGGGAATTGCACAAGGTGGAGAAACTGGATAATACACTGGACACAGAGGAGGAGCAGGAGGAGGTGAGGTTGGACATGACGGAGAAACTACATACACTGGGTAGGGAGGAGGTCTAGGGGGAGGTGAGACGGGACACGGAGGAGGTGAGGCTGAACAAGGAGGGGGTCGAGGGGGAGGTGATACTGGACACGGAGGAGGCCGAGGAGGAGGTGAGGCTGGACACGGAGGAGGCCGAACGGGAGGTGAGGCTAGACATGATGGAGAGTAAGAGTATGTCACAGTTGGAGAAGCACAGTTTGAACACTTCGAATATACTTGTATCACGCGTTTATTAGATGATGGGCAGCTTTCTGATTTTTCACAACGTATTTCCACTCTTCTTCCACTGTTTTCGGAGGATACCATTATACAATCTAAATATATTAAAACTTTTTAAAATCGATTTTTAGAATATTAAGTACTCATATTATGAAATGAAATTAATCTACATATTTAAAAAACGAAATTAACTTAGCAGAACTTTGTTTTTAACGGAAGCGCAGCGACGGCTTGCAAATTTACGTTAGATCGTTAAGGAACAAAGTTGCCATTTTTACGATAATTATCGTATTTGTACGTTTATTCCTCGTTCTACTCGTATAAAATATTCTGCAGGTATTACATTAATATATTTTATAACTGCATAGTTTCCATCTAGTGAGCTGTCTGTATCCGAGGCTTTTTTACATAGGGCAATTTTCTTAAACTAGGGGGTCCTGAGCACTCAAGTATTAAACTGACAATTTTAGATGTTCGCAAAAATTTGGCAAAACTAAGGTTCATGCATATGAAATAAGTACATTATATAAAATGTGTTACATACTGTATTTGTTAATGTTTGATATGTTAAAAATTGTATGAAAAAAATCATATTTTAGATTATGCCATTCAGAGGTTTGTTTTGCACTGTATAATATAAGAGGGTATAATATACGGTATAATATACCGTATAATATCGTAAAAACTTCATTGTAAGATGAAGAGATTATGACATAGGGGAACCTAGTTAAAATTTCTACGAATACAGAGCGTAAGTATAACGGATCGAGATGGCTAATACGAGAAATTTAAGTGAAATACGATAATTTCAAAGGACAGATACAGGTAGGAACGAGAGTTGCCATACCGTACTTTTTACAGGCACGAGAATTGCAGCCAATACTGGCGCTGCTGTGAGTGACATCTCGTGCGAATCGCCATATTGCGGCATACAAAACATTGTGGCATACAAAACATTGTGGCAGCTGTAGGACAGTGCTATAAACAAACATGTTTCAACTGCTCGGGTAGCTCACCAGTTCTTAAATTTTTTGCAGCTATATAAAAAAGAATCTATCGTGAATCTATCATTTCAACTTGTGACTAAAAACATTTTATTATTGATTTCTTAAAGTTCAATTATGACATGTATTGACAATATAGCATAATACTGAATGGTGATGTGTCATGAGTGCGTATCTTAAGTGATGCAAAAAGATCAGATTCTAGATTTTGCAAGATTTTTATACTCTCAACAGATATTTCAATTTTCTGTCTCAACTTACCTCTGCCGTTTTCGTGTATTGCAACTTTGAACATGAATTCACATCTTTTATAAACATGAAGTACATTTTTGGACGGATGGATTAAATTTCTTCTATTTTTATGAACAGTTAGAGAATTTAAAATTGAGTTATCATCCAATAGTGCAGACTTACATTCATTACATCTTAAAGTTGCATAAATTTTCTTGCTAAATATCCAGCTATGTAATAAACTACGTGCTCAATACATTCAGTTAAGATGCCAGGTATTAAAACAATCATCATCATTGAATTCTATCAGAATCATAAGCTAATACAAAGCCAGGTGTTGTAGAGCTTATAATTTTTTATGGCATAACTTGCACACATGAAGTGCTAGCTCCTATTATAAAAATGTCTTCCAGCTGAATGCATTACCACAATGGCTTTTGCCAGCATTTATTTGTTTCTGAATTCAAAGTTTTTTGTGTGCTGCTTTGAATTGCAGAAAGATTATTGTTTTATCCTCCCCTTGCATTCTGTCACTGTAAAAAAAAAACCTAAGTTTTCAGTGTGATCCTAAGTTTTACGGTGAAATTGATGAAAGCGAATTATTGTCAATCAATGTCTCATACAGTGTCTTCGCAGATTTGATACAAACAAATAAACCAAGGAAATACTCGATTGCAGTATTTTTCCTCATCTGGACCTATTTACAAGTTAAAAATACATTTATTTGTTTTATTCAAAAACATTATCGTAATTGTTGACATTTAAAAGCTCTTCTGCTTAACATTTCTTCAATTGAGCTCATCAAACGAATCAATTATAACTTGGATAAATTCTACAGTTGCTTCACAATTTCTAAGTGCTGTTAGCTGCAAATGAGTGTTACAAAATATTACACTTACATTTTAGTACTGTATTGCTAACTTCACTTTCATTTTTTTGTTTGTAAAAAACACGTACAGTACCCTCCTGAGTTTATTTCTCAAGTGAACAGGGAATAAATTTTAAACGCAATGGGGCGCCTCCCGTTCCTCCCTGGGTAGATACGATAATTTTTTCTCGTAAGGTTGGAAACTGTGTTGGGGGTGATACATTAAAGCGACTTGTCACTCTGCATGAATGGTAAATTCTTACCTTTGTTCTGAAACTTATCAATACATAATGTAAGCATCGAGCTCACGAACGTGTTTATGGGTTCGCCCTTTTTTCGACGCTAGTGGCGAATATACGCGCGTTTTGTTCGAAATTTCTGGAGTAACTGTCTTCGAGAAAGTCAACAACGACTCTTAAAGGAAAAAAAAATCCTTACAATAATAAACGTTGTTTAATTAAGGAATAATACTTTCAAGTAGGTTAAGTAAGTGTAGGTTAAGTTATATATGGTCGATTTTTCGAGAAAAATGAAAAAATACGATCGATATTCAAGAGTTTGGCCGTATTTAGAACGTTGGGTAGCGCGTGCTCGTTTGTTTTACCTTTTTACAATGCAGAAATTTCCCATTAACTTAACGTGGGGATGACCTTTGAACCCTGATATGCCATTCTAGGTCGAGTTTTAAAATTCGGTCTCTGTCACGATACACCATTTTATTACTTCTATTAAAGGAAAAGGCACTAAAGCTTGACAGTGCTCTAATGATTGACATTTCCAAGATGTTTTGCTTTGAATAATCAGAATTTCATATAAAATTCCACAAAAATATGTGTGTGTTATTCAAAACGTACTAAAGAAAAAAAAAAACATGGCAATAAATTGATGTAATGACAAAAAGACAGTTTATAAACAAAATGAATCTGGTATTAAAATTATTACTTATTCACAAATAAATGCCCTTCCAATGCCAAAAATGATCCTGGAGATAGGGTTAAATACCAGTTTTCTACATTAATTGACGTTGACGATTAAATAGCAACTATTTATAGCCCAATAATATGTCAACTTGTAGTGTTTATTATGTCCCAGTACAGCAAGGACATTCATTCAAGAATTAAAATATATATATATATTTTAATTATATTATATATATATATATTAATTGGCAATATTTTTCAAAAATGATTTTAAGTTAACTACAAAAAATGTGTAGCAATTGCATTTGAAATTGTTTTTGTTTCAGAATAAATATTTATGATGTTAGCAGAATATTTTTTCTTTGTGTGTCAATTATTAGTGTTTTTACCTTAATATCCAATGTCATTTCTTCGCAAAACGTGTTTAAGCGAATTGTCAATTTGAGTCTCTGCCAAGGAAGCTTTCTCGTTGAGGTTCAATTAATTAAAACGATATTTCAGTTTAAAAAATTGGCTATATAATCAAATAAATATGCAATTATAAGTATTTTAAAACGTCAATTTTTAAAATAATTAAGTTAATTAATTAAATTATTTAACTATGATGTAATTAATTATTTTTACTGATTATTCGAATCATATAAAATAATCCTATGTAATATAAAAATATAACAAAATAAGTTGCAGAAAATAGTAAATTGCATTATATTATTTTTATAAAGAAAACTTTAAGACAAACAAACCTTTACTTAAAAAGTAAATGAAGTAAAATCCTGCATAAAAAATATTCCAGCATTTCATTTTCTTCGATCATTTCCCCTTTAACTGCAACTTAACTAATTGCATTCTCTATAAACATAAGTATTTTTGTATTCTAAAGCGGATGTTTGCATGCAAATCCTGAATAAATAGTTGTGTACGGAAGACATCACCAACAAAATTTTTCAAATTAAATAGAGAAGTATTTAATTATCCCTCAGTTTATAGGAAAATATAAATTATTTTCATATATATAACC